TAGCTATTTTGGAATAACTTTAAAATGAATGATGGAACATTTCTCATGGTGCTTCTCTCCTGAAAATTCTCTCAGTGTGAGTGTTTGCTTTGTTTTGGTTTGGCTTGGTTTGGTTCACTTTGGTTGTTACCTAGGACAATTGTAATTTCCTGCAACTATATTCTTTTCAGTGAAAGAGGACCCCTGTAGATATTCTTTTGTGGTACACTTTTTAAGACTTTTCATGTTCGTCAATTTTTAAATAAACAATAATCACCTGTTTTGACTTTTGTTAAGACTGAGAGGGGACAGAGCCTCAAGGGAACTGCTTCTGACTGTCATGAGCATGTGGAAACTCAGCTGGCTGGAGCCTACCCAGACATCGCAACAGAAACTAAACGTAGGGATTTGCATGACATCTTTATGAGGAGAAGGGTGAGAGGCAAAGATGACCAAACAAGAAGGTGAAGTAGAGAAAGTCTGCTACAGTAAACAAAGGCCCTTCCCATAAGAAAACCCTCTGGGGGCTCAGATTTACCAACTCAACTGACTGTTCTTACATAGCCAACAACATTTACATCCAGCAGAAGCTGCCACTTCACTCAGAAACACCAGGCTTTGCTGTCTGCTAACATGAGCTGCTCTAGGCTGATCTAGGGTGAGGAACACTTTGTATCCCCAGTTTGTGTAACTGCACAGCAAGCACATCTGCAGGTGCCCCTCCTCTGCCAATCCCACCCAAGTTTACGCATGGAGGCAACCTCCAGGTTCCAGACAGGCACTGTGTGTCAGAAGCACCTGCAGAAGGTTATAAACAGACACACCTGGGCTGGCCCCAGCTTCTGCTCCCTCAGCTGCTGGCTGAGGAGCTGCCTGCTTCAGCTGCGCCCATGTTTACCCCGTCCCCTATGATAGGCTGCAACAGGGGCGGGGAGAGAGCATGCCCTGTGTCCTTGCAGCATTCTATCACTGAACAAAGTCTATGCCAAGGATGGTTTAAAATGATAATGTGAGAATAGATCAGAAAAAATAAGCAAGAGAGACTAAATCCTTTACCACAGCCCATCTGTGGCTAATCATCACTTGTCAATGGTGAACAGGAGCTCTTTCATGCACATCTGAGTGATCCTCATGGGAACCCAGTGAGAGAAGTCAGTCACAGTGATGAACTTATGAACAAACGGAAAAACCAAAGCACAAAGAATTTAACTTTTCTAGTGTCACAAAACTATAAGCAAAGCCAGGCACGGTGGTGCACCCAAGTAATCTCAGCTACTTGGGATCAAAGCTACTTGCAAAGCCAAAGGATCACATGTTTGAAGCCAACTTGGGCAACCTACCAAGACCTTGTCTCAAAATAAAAAATAAAAAGGGCTGGGAAATAAGAGCAACCCTGGCTTCAAATCCCAATATGGGGGGAAATGCTGAGAAGTATCACTGATAAGTTCCAGGTGATCTTGCCTCAGAGCTCATGTTCCAACCACTAGATAGATGCTGGAAACTTCAGAAAAGAAAGAGGGCAAAGATAGGACCCAGGGCACCCCCAGGAAGATGCAAAGAAGATGAATGTGTTTGTGTAGCATGGTGTCCTAGTCACTTTTCTCATCGATGAAACAATGTCTGACATCTGCAACTTGAAGGAGAGGTTTACTTTGGTTCACAGTCACAGCTCATGGCCAGCTGGCTCCAGGGCAGAAATAGCATGGCAGAGGGGCATAGTGGAGGAAAAACACTCATATCAAGGGGGACAGGAAGCAAAGAAAGATGGGAGAAGAGACATACACTCTTCCAAGTCACACCCCCAGTGACCCACATCTTCTGACCAGGCCCAACACCCAACAATGCATTCACCTAAAGCATCCTCGTGATGCAACCACTTTCCACTCAGCTATGGCACCTGTGAACACATGAAGCCTTGGAGGACATTCTCTGTCCAAGTCACAGCACACGGAGACTTCCAAAAATGAAAAGCAAGTCCCTTTTGTCTGGGCTCCTGGGTTTCTCATTGTATCAGGTGCTTAAAAGGACCCAGCAAGGGCTTTTCTCTCCTCTTTGAAGTATTCTGTAGGATTTCTTATGAAGATGAGTTTCAGTAATTTGCTAGTAGAGTGAAAAACACTCCACTGGCAAAATACAAGGAGCAGGAAAAAAAGCCAGTGTCAGATATGAAAAGCTTTCAACCCAGGCTTCAAAGTCCAAAAGGTGGGACCAATTGGTCAGATATAGCCAGCAATATGGAGAAGGCTATGGCTCGACAGACAGCCCTTTATTATTACATTTCAAAAAGAAATCATCCAAGCCACCAGTTTCTGGATGAAAATATGCAGGCAGCATTTCTACACTAAAAGCAATATGTACTAACAATAAAAGAAAAAACAGTATGTCTCTTAGCAAAGAGCACCCAGGCGCCTTCATTTCAGCTTCCTCATTCACAATGGGTGACCAGCAGTTGCACAGACCATCAACTGGAAGAAAGTATCCACAGCATATAAGTTCAATTAATAACTAAAAAGAAAGACAGCCTAAGGAAAAAAAGGGGCTAAGAATAGACACAGGCAATTTACCGAAGAAACATACACAAATACCCGCCGTGTACACCCTCGACAGTGATGTGGTATTGAGTAGGTTAAAATCTGTGTATTCCACCTGTTCAATAGGCAGAAGTAGAATCAACTGAAAATTTCCAGTATTGGTAAAGGTGCGAGAAAAGCCGTATATTTAATGCTATGGTTAGGAGGGTAAATAGGTAAGTTTTCCTGGGGAAAATGTATCAATGCCTGTCAACCCTCCAAGTGTGCTGGGCTCCAGCACTGGAGGGTGTAGAGGCTATCCACACTCATGGACAGTGACCTCCAGCCACACACATTTCTTTCATCAAAAGAAATTTGGGCAAGCCTTTCATTCAGGACTAGTGACATCAGAGTGGATAAGTGTCACATCCTGCAAAGAAGCAGGGCCTCGCCCGCGGTATTCCTGAGATAAGGAGTTCAGTGTTAGATAGGCACTTAGACATTAGCAAGCATGAGGGGCAAAGGGAGAGGGCACCCAAACTAGTATGCTGGGGCAGCTGTAATTAAATGAAGAAACAAAGACCTAAATGTTTAATACATTTATAATCATTTGTTAGGTCTTAGACTCAGAGCATCCCCCAGAGCACAATGACATTTTAAGATTATGCCCTGTGTATGTTCTTTCTGATACCTGGCTACCTAGCTGGCTAGTCCTGAAACAATACTGCAGACAGCATTCCTGGTCACCCGGCCTATGGCCAACGATTTGAGAAAGGAGAGCATTCTTGAAAGACCTTCCCACCTCGGATTGAGATTTGATTTAGATTAGAGGTTTTTCATAGATTTCTTTCCTAAACTTCTTACCTGATTAAGTTTCCTGAGGGAACCCTGGCCATCGTTAAAGAGACAGGGAGAAATCTTGTAATTCCAAAGTTACCTCCAAGAAAAATTTCAAGCATCATAAACACCACAGAGCTCCAAGAGTTACTCTTGTGTGCCTAAAGAGATATCCAAGCTCATACTTGAGTAGTTGCTTGTGTGACACTGCCCACTTTCTGGTTTGAAGGTGTAAACCCCTCTATATCTACTTTACACTAATTGTACCCATACTTCTGCACAGCTGCCTATGGGTATTAAGTGAATTCTTTCATGGACAGCACAAAGAACCAAGGAGCTCAAGGCTGATTCCTTGTAGCATAGGGACTTTGCTTCCCAGGGATGGTGTGGTGGATGAGGAGTGGCCCTCTGCTGAGTCCCTCTAACTGGCACCCCTCTACCACCACTGAAAAACATCAGCACCTATCTCTGCAGCAGGCATAGTGCCAAGATCCTGTGGTATATTGTTGCCATCATAGAAGGTCATGGGTAATTTTTCAGTATGAAGAACAAACCCTGAGAGGTAGATTTTCTCAATTATAATCAATAATCAGCTCCATCAGCTTCAGCCATTAACTCAGACTGCTTCAAAAGTTTAGAAAGACTTGTTGAGTAGAGGCGACAAGAATGTGAGACAGGCAGAGGGTGGCATTCTTCTCACAGCACTATTTCCTTTCAAACCCTACGGATGTCAAGGCAGAGTAGCCTTCGTTTACCATCCTCAAGCACTGACACAATGTGTACAGAAAGTTCTTCATATGGTTGTTGATTTTAGAAATTTTCAAACAAATTCTTCTATCTCCAGGTGCTCAAAGAACAGCTTCTAAATCAGGTTTAAACATAGTTGTTGCTCTTCTGATAATTTAAAGTCCTAGATGTCCATCCTGGGTGCACCAAAAAGGCTGGGCAGGCTGGGACTCAGCATGGGACAGGATCCACAGGAGGAGAATCTGGTAGACTCTTGACAGGAGGTGTGTGGTGAACTGTTAGCTACTCACCTCAGGGGAGGACACAGGAAAGGGTTTGCAATGCTGGAAACACTTGCACAGCACATGCTAGTGACACTTCTGGGACACCCATTCCCTCAGTGACCAGTTCAGGTAACTACACACTCATGCCGTCTGGGCCCCTGTGACTTCCATGCAGAGAACCTTGTTAAATCCATGATGTTGGCTGTAAGCCAACAAGGCACTCAACATTGGAGTTGTTCTTGTCAGCAAAGGATAATTTTTAACTATAATCTGTCAGGATAAATTTTAAAAATTGACTTCTGATGAAAGATCAGAAAGTAATTAAGTACTTACCTTGATTTGGATAAAATTTAGTTTGCTGTGTTTCCTTTATCATCTTTTCAATTCCCATCAACTTACCTCTGAAAGTATTTCATTTGAGTATTATTAAAACAGAATATAGAAATCATTTAGAGAGAAATTTCACCTTCTAAGGAAAGTTGCTATTCAATTAGGTCATCAAGAAGCAATTTCATTTGTCACATTAAAAACATTAAATATAAATATGGGGACATAGCTTGGTGGTTGAGTGCTTGTCTAGCGTATACAAGACCCTGGGCTCATCCCCAACACCCTCCCACACACACAAGAAGGTCAAATACTGATATACACAGGGTTTCTTTATTGTATTATATAAAGAATTTTTTGCAAGGGTTTGAAAATAAACAAAAAAATAAAACTTTACCACATATCTAAAGTTACTACATATCTAGAGTCACCACCCTAAAGGGGATGGAAAAAGGATGTGTGTGTCAGAGAGGGAGATGGAGAGAGTCAGAGACACAGAGAGAGACTGAGACAGAGAAAGTAACTGGGTAGTAAAAAATAAGAGGAGATAAAATGGCTTCCTTCAGCAATAAAACCACTATAGTGTTGGGTAATTATACATTGCATAGTCTCCTTGGTAAACAAAAACATTTGTTTCCATTTCAGTTGAAATGAAAACTAACTTTTTCCCTTTCCCAAGCTAGTTTTACTGTCTGGCCAGTGAGCTCAGTGCCACTAATGAAGGCATATAATCCCAGGATCTGACACTGGAGACACACTTGATCTCCCTACACAGAGCCCATAGTCTGAGGACACAGATGGCAAAGTCCATGGCCTTTTTCCTCCACTTCCATCTCACGCCATCTTTACGTGACCCTTCCATGGGTAAAAAGCTGCCCCACAGAGAAATGGCAGCATCAAGCATGGCAAGGCCAGACACCAGCTGTGACAATCTGCCAACTTGGGTTTTAACTTCTGCCAGAGGGTGACTATTTCCACCAAGTAGCACAGATGTCAAGCGAGTCTCCATATGAGGGACCGGAAAAGGCCCTTTATGAAATTTAGCATCATTTGGCACATGCCAGTGAAGGGGGTCAAGGGATTGGAAGAGCAGGTAGTCTTCCAGGTCAGAATCAAGAGCTGTGGGAGTCTCTAATAATTCCAGTTCCTCAGAGTGAGCTGGTGCAGAGCATGGAGAAGCGCATCCCAAGGAAATTTTGTCTGGATTAGAGAGCTAGGAAAGAGAAATAAGAAACTGTTCATTTGCACATCTTAAGAACTTTAGATTTTTGTCTTTTTCTGTTTGTAAGACACCAACATGATTTCTTAAACCTCTCTTAGCATTGGATCTTTATTGGCTTTCCCTATTCCAAAGCTTTTGGTCCTGATTCACTGAGTACTCACAGTCCTAGACTTGAGCAGAGGTCCCTTCACATGAAGGGCTCCCCAACTGTGCACGGATCTCCTCCTGTCCCATTCCATGAAGGTTTTTACATTGCAACAAAAGCCCACTGGGGAGGCCCCTGAAGAATGTACTGCACCATAAGAGGATCTGATGTCCCTGGCTTGTGCTTCCATCAGTGAGCAGAAAGGAGTGGTCTCCAGTCCTGCTGGAGGTCTGTTTACACCAGCATTCGTGCTACCTAAATTCCCTCTCAGGTGCAAGACAACATTGAGTTCAGCAAACCTACAGCTCCCTGATCAAAAGGAACATGTGTTTCAATAAGTGGTAAAGAACCCCCTAAAATGTGATCCATGAAATCTGCTGATTCCACAAATGAAAAATTTGAAAAGATGCCATTACACATATTCTCCAATGCAAATCATGGGTGCAATGCTGTGATTGCATTTATAGAAAAAGTTCTTCACTAGCCAGACAAGCTTTACCCAGAGCACACATTACAGAAACCACTACCCAACTCAACATGCACATGCCTACACACTCACCTGCCCACATTCATTTACATACATGTGCATCCACTTGTGTGCACATTCGCTCATTTGTGTGCACATGCTCACACTTGTATAGACAGGCACACTGATGCAAGACCACACTCATGTTCATGTGTGCATACATTCATACTCTCAGAGACACAGCTCACATTAACATGTCTATATGCACACATTCATGTGCACAAACTCGTATTTCACACACATGGACACTCACATGAACACACACTCATACACACATGCATATTCACACATTATATCCACAGCCATATTCTAGTGCTCACACTCATTTGCACTGCACTCATTTGTGTGTACATATAATTCTTAAATGCAGCAATGATTTGTGGGAAAGAGCAGCTGGACTCCTTTTGCTCTGAGGCCAGGTAAAGTGCTCTTTGCAGATGCCTGAGCATTAAAGTTTGTGTTTTCTGAGAGCCCCCTAGAGTAAAACTACTCTTCCTTAGTTCTCTTTTCAGCTGGGGGATGCCGCTGAAGCCAGGACCAAACCAGAGTGCCCCAGCTGGGGTGGCATGGGGGACCCCTCACAGCAGTGGAAGCGCTGTGTGACAGCAGTAAAACTGCACGCTTCAGAAAGCCAGATCTCAGAGATAACTCATTCATACAGTGAAAATGTCTCATCTAGAACTGCAGAAGAGAGAACTAAGAGGCCACTTTTCCCACGCCAGCAGGTTGGGAGAGGCTGGGGAGTGGCTACTCCTCCACCTCTTGTAGCTCCTTCAGCATGGCCTGGAGGAGCCTGTGAAGCTTCCAGAACACATGTGGGGCGGCTCTCCAGGAGCTCTGGGTGAGGTCTTCTGAGCTGGCGCACTCCCACACGGCCTGTTGTAACTGCAGCCTCAGCGGGAAAGACACAGCAGAGGTTACGGGAAGCGAGGAGAACCAGTGGCGGAATATTTTGTCACAGATGACCTGAGGGAAAGAAAGGTGAGCAGTTAACTGAGGTGGCAAGTCATCCTTAAGAACTTCCCAGGTCCACATCTGCTTCTCAAGCTGTCCTTTGCTTTGCTCCTTCAGGGAGGGTGCTATGATCATCTGACTCTCAGATCATCTGACTCACCAGACTCTCCTCTGCAGCATAAACCACTGAGCACCAAGAAGAGTCCATGCCTCAAAGAACAGAAGGCAGAAAATCCCTATAAGGCAGGAAATTCCATTTCTAGCCCCAGAGCAGTGGCGAAAGGATTGAGCTGATGTTTCAACAAGGACTGAACACGTTTGCACAGAGAAAGGGGAGCACAAGCTGCTGCATAAGGAGCTAGCCCTTCTGTGGGTCCTGAGCAGCCAGCTTTACTTTAGCACCTCTCCACAAGGGCTCTTCTATGAAAATGGGTCGAGCAGCAATAATAACCACTGACAGGTTTGTCCTGAGGGTCGTGTAACACTTTGAGAAAACTAACAATGCAAATATAAGCTGCTACCTTATAGCCCTTGAGGTTCATAGAAAAAAGGTACATGAAGGGAAGTCTGCAGGCATAGGGCTCTCCTAAGGAGCTTTGAAATACTTCAGGGACAGATATAAAAAGCTAAGGCACGGTCTCACAATATTTAATTCAAATAAGCTATTCAACTCACTGATGCTGGCAACCTCTTCAAAGTCCAAATTCTAAAATGTTGTTCATCACTTTCATGGGAGAACTGACTAAAGAATAGTGCTTTATTTTCCTATGCCACACTCATTCAACAAATGCCTCCATTTTACAGTATTATTGTTTCATAGAGGACAAATAATTTTAACTTGATTTTTCTGATGCCTGCAATGCCAACGATTAATTTTACAACCAACTTTCTTTATTCGCAGAACTGGGGATTGAACCCCAGACCTTAGTACTGAAGTACATTTCCATCCCTTATTTTTTATTTTGAGACAGGGTCTTATTTAATTGCTCAGTCACCCCAGCTGACCTTGAATTTTCAATCCAATTGCCTCAGCCTCCCATAGTGCTAGGATTCTAGGCATGTGCCACCATACCTGCTCATTTCTTTTTTGAATAGGGAATATATTTTCATGTACAAAATTGAAAGTATACTGAAGGATATATTGTAATCTGTCTCCAACCACCCTGATACTGAGCTTTCCCTGAAGCTGACAGGCAGCAGCCTGTTTCAATGTCCTTCAAAAGCCAGAGCTATCCAATCTTGTCTTGCCAGTGCTGTAGTAAGTGAAGAGGGATTATCTTGGGCTGCATATAAAATATACAATATAGTTAATGTACAAAAGTGACAAACTTCATATAATTTTTATACTTTTTATTATAACTTTTTTTAAAAAGCTAGAACCCAAGTTCAACACCAGGCCAGGCATAGTGGTGCACACACTTCCTAGCACTCTGGGAGGCTGAGGCAAGAGGACTGACAAATTAGAGCTCAGCCTCAGCGACTTAAAGATTTAGTGAGACCTTCTTCTCAAGTTTAAAAAATAGCACTTGGATTCAGTCTCCAGTACTGATAAAAAGAAAAAGCTGGATGCTCCTGGTGGAGTCTAAGCCTATACATGTATGCTCTTTTTTATTTTATACAAATTGTAGCATACTACGCAGTGTTCTGAAGCTCTGATTCTCATATAACTATATGTCAAGGAGATCCCTTCAAATCAATTCTTATAAATGTATCCCATTTGTTTTAATGGCTACATCTCAAATGTATGGATGTATCGTGAATTATTTAAGCAGTTACCTCTTGATGAAAATTGAGGCTTTTTACCAACTTTTGCTTTTATGAGCAATGTAAGCCATAACTATCTTGCATATATACATGATTTTCCTTTTGCACATATGAGTAAACTTCTAGGAGTGGAATTTCTGGGTCAAGGGTGTGTGTGTATTTTTTAAATTTTGCGAGATGTCAAATTGACCCGATAAAGTCACACCAGTTTCCACTTCCTCAAAAAGCTGTCCAAGAATGCTTATCCCCTCCATGGCCTCAGCAATAGACTCTCTTTCTGCCATCAGATGGGAGAAAATGGTTTAATGTGCAGTTTTCCTATTCTTAGTCAGGCAGAAAACTATTTATACTTCCTTTTCAGTGAACAGTCAATCTTATATCCTTTGCCCAAATTTCTGTCAGGTTGTTGGTCTTTTTTTAATATTAATTTCTAGCTATTTTTTTATAGCTTGGATATTAGCCCCTTGTCCTGGCTTGGTTCCTTGGGAAGTGCATGCTAAGATGTTTGCATGCAGGGATTCATTGAGGGGCATGCTCTGGCATCCACGTCAAGGGAAATGAGAAGAAGAACCTATAGAGTTGTCCTTTATTGAGGCAAGGATCTATCCTCCCCTGCTCCCTCATCAACTGGTTCCTAGGTGCTGCCCCTTGGAAGCTAGATCCAGAAGCTGGGAATAATCCTCTATCCATCCATCCTCTGATCTCCTGGACTGTAATGAGGACTGCAAACAATTAAGATTTGCTAATTTTTTTAGTTTTACCTTGTTTTTGGCAGTGGGGATTTTTTAAAAGATAGGTAAGTTTTTCAACTGCTCTTCCTTTGCCTTCTAAGCTCAGTTCATTACTTACAGAGCCCGTCCTATGCTAGCATAATGTTAATACTTTCACCTTTTTGCAGGTACTTTTAGGATTTCACCTTTTACATGTATTTGAATCATCTAAAATTTAGTTTGACTTAAAAAGTGAAACTGGCAGTTAATCTGACCATTTGTTCGGTTGTCCACCAGTTTACCAACACCAAGCATTAATTATAATACCAGCCCTCCCAATGCACTGAAATGTCCATTTCATTACGGACTATACACCCACATCGCATTAGGTCCAGTTCTGAAATTTTAACAATTCTATCCCATTGATTCATCAATCAATGTTTACAGGGCAGAGATTTTTTAATCAAATTTAAATTAGAAAGTTATAAAATTTACAGAATGTAGAAAAGATGAAGAGAATAAAATCTATAATCCTACCACCCAGAAATAATTGCTTTTGACACCTTGTTATCTATCTCTCCCATTATACACTATTCAACAAAGATGGAGCTCATATTGTAAATATTGGAAATTATAACCTTAATTTTCAAATACTTCATAGTATCTCATAGTCTTAAAGTTTGTTCAATGTTGCTTCTAGGACTTATTCAGAAGCAATAATCAGAAATATGGATAGTGAAATTGATCAGTATGAACATTTCCAACATCCATTTACTCTCCATAGAGATATAATTTATAATTGTGTTAATTATATAGACACTTATCTATGTCCCTGAAACTTCCATCATTAATTAATAGCATTTTAATGACTATTACCAATTGGCACAAGAAACTTATTATCATTGGACTTTAATTTGTATGTCTCTGAATGCTAAGATTAAATAATTTTCCACTCTCTTTGCCATTTGCATTTCATCATTTATGTAACAGGTACATGTTCTTTCTTGCCAGTTTTCTTTGGGTTCCCCTTGCCTCTTAATGAATCTTCAGTAAGGCTGTAACCTCTCTCATTATGCTGTACAGAATAGATGCATTCCCATTTGGCAGATGAGATCACAAGGTTGAGAAAACTCAAGTGAAAATCATCTTGTCCCCACAAGTGAAGAAGAGGGATTTTATGACAGTCCCACAAAGGGTGTGAGTATATGTTAAAGAGGCTGGATGGCTCACCTCCAAGGCCACATCACTGCTTGACCTCCATAAGTAGAAACACTTGTGATTCTGGAATTCACCCCAGAAGTTTGTGTAGATGCTGGAGTAACAGAACCATGGCTTCTGTCTGGCTTGGCCAGGAACCACTATATTAAGAACAGGGCTGTCCAGGTCTCCTCTAGCCATCCCTTTATAATGGGATAACAGCCTCCTGCTGTGCTTCCCCTGCCAGCTCTGATTTAATCTGCACTTCAGGTCTGCTCTGGGTCACATCTTTTAGGTGCCAGGCCTTTTGGGAGGATGAGATGCAGAGAAGGTGTGCTGAGGGGAGTGGGTTCCAAGAATTAAAGGGGAGGAAAGTGCAGCGCAATAACCTGTATAGCAACTGCACACCGCCAGGCAGCAGGGAAAGGAGCCTCAACACCATCTTCCCTTGCATAGACCTTGGACTGCATTCTGGTTTTAATCAGACCCAAGTTAATCCCCATCCACTGAGAGCCTCAAGTGATTGCAGAAAGGGAATATTTCTGCCAAAAGAAGAAAGAGAATTTCCTACTGATGGAGTATCCAACCCTGGAGTTGGGGTCTCATTACCTCCAGACCCAATGTGACATCCTGAAGCCAATGTCAATTCCTACTCGTGGCTGAAGTCTTCTGAGAACCACTTGCTGCCCCAGCTGCCTGTCTGCATTATGATCTCTACTGGATTCATTTCTTGGAACTGCTCTGCACTCTTGTCGGTCTTATCCTTGATGAGTTAAGTCTACGGGTTCTCATTCTTGGTGTATATAGGAGAGGCAACTATGTGGACATGGACATTGGACTCAGAGAAAGCAGCTCTCCCATCCCTCTAGCTTAGGTGGAGCTACAAGGAAGAGAAGACTCAGCAAGTGTAATTTGCTGAGACCTCCATCCATTTGCCCCATTGGTCCACATGACTGACCACCCAGAGAAAGCAAAAAGGTCAACAAAATACTTCCCTGCCTTGTCCTTACGGAATATGTTGAGCCTAGATGATAGGAAAGGTGGATCTTCTGCTCCACTGAAAGGTTCTTCAGTGCCACTAGATGGAGGAAACAACCAGAGAGCTGATGTCTTCCCCAGCCCCAAACCCTCACCTGCTCACCTGCAGGTTGCTGTTGACACGCTGAGCTCCACACCTGTTTATTCTCAAGTCACACTTTGAAAAACAGTCAAAGAAATTGCAATCTTCATCCCCCGTGCAGTTTTGCTCAAGGATCTCCCTCATTTTAGGTTCAAAAAAGGCCATGTCCACATCAATAGCCACAACCTGTAATCAATACAGCATATAGTGACCAAAACAACACTCACAGACTCAGCAGAATAGCTCCTTCTCTGGCCACTGGTTGTGCTCATTCAGATTGCAGGTGATACAGAACTGTGTTGGGCAAGGCAAAAAGCCCAGACCACACCCCGTGGAGTGGTTTGCTTCAAAGAGTTTATCTGTTTTCTCTGACAGAAGCAATTGACACAGACTTTTGCAGTTTTATCTGCAAGAAGAATCCTTTGCTATCAGTAGTTAAATCCTAGGATTTGGAACCATAACCACAAGTATCACTTTTCATCTTTGAACATTTTCTCAGCCTTAAATGTACAATCTCTGAAATGGCTTAAACTGAATTTTTCTTCTGTCACTTTATCACTTTGATCTTGGATCTCTGTCAACCTAAATAACAAAAATAATCAGAAAGAGGTTCCCTAGAGAATACTCATAATTACTTGGGAATAGTATTGCAATGGGAATACATATGCCCTAGTAAGTTCCAGACATATTCAATGAGGTTGGGGCACAAACAAATTTTTAAAGACAAAAGTGAGGAAGAATATATCAGATATTTTGAAGTAATAATCTTGGTCACAATGATTCATAAAAAGGATAGTGTCGGTCTGAGGCAGAATAGTTGCTGGGCAGATGTTCTTGTAGAAGAGCTTTCATCTAAGGTTGCAGTGGCCTCAGAGCAAGGTTGAGTTTTAACAGTCTCTTGTGATAGTTGCAATCAGGGAATCATGCATACAACCCTTCCTGCATAACTGCACTTTGCTTTATTTTTGTTAGGGTTGACACAGGTGACTCTATTTTGATTCTGACAATTTTCACATTCTTCACATCTTCAAGGTCAGGACTGTAAAAGTTATGAGATACAAATAATTTACCACCCAGAAACAATAACAGATATTTTTGGACCAGGGATTTAGCTCAGTGGTTCCACCTCCTGCCTCACAAGCACAAGGTCTTGAGTTAGATCTCCCGTATGAAAAACAAGTTATTTTTGAGTGTCAGGTTTATGGGGTAGATGGTAGAAACGGGTGAGCAGTATCTAAGTTTCATGACCTATCTGTTGTTAGAGTCAATTTGTCTCCTACTGATCAGTCAAATTAAGCATCACAGAAATGGTAAAGTGTTCAAATTAGGATAGATCTGAATGGACTGTCTTAGTTACTTTTCTCTTGTTTCTGAGACAAAATACCTGACACCCAAAGTTAAAGGAGGAAAGATTTATTTAGATCCCAGTGTGTTTCAGTCCATAATTGGCTGGCTCCAAGTCAGGATGGCATAGCAGACAGACACTGCAGAGGAGAAGTAGTTCATGACAGGCAGAAGGTAACAAAGCAACAAGGGACAAGACAAGCCTCTTTCTGTCCCTTATGTTATATCTAATCTACTGGGATTAGGATGGTGCCAAGACTATCAGTGGATTGATTTAGTCATCACCCACTCTTAATCCTAACACCCTTAATCCTAGCATTGCACCATGAATCAACCACACAGTAGATTCAGTCACCACTAAAAAAGCCCACCTATGACTAATGAGGCTTCGGTGGGGGCATCTAGATACAAACAGTAACAGACCCTGACCCAACAGTATCAGCTACTAAGTTCCATTGTCTGCAGGGGAATTTGATGACCCCCTGGAAGTTCAGATTTATCTTTCTAGCTTCAAACCAAACAGGCTTCAAAAAGAGAAAAAGAATAACTCCTAAATTATGCAGTTTTCCTCCAGCACCTGGATACAAAAAAAAAAAAAAAAAAAAAAAA